GGACATGTTGAAGGCAAACATGAAAAATTGTGGCATCAGTGTCGACACTTGGGAGAACCGTCCCCAGTGGAGACTGGTAATCCGTGAGGGAGTGGTGCAATTTGAGAGGTCCTGCTGCAGGGCAGATGAGAAGAGGCAGAGAAAGAGAAAAGAGCAGCAAAAACTGCCCCATGTCCCTCCAATAGCCACCAGCACCTGCCCCTTCTGTGATAAGACCTGCGGCTCCAGAATCAGGCTGGTTAGCCATCTACCAATCTACAATTAGGAGGGTGTCAGGAAGACCTCCTACTCATTATCGAGTGACCACTGAGAGGGGATTAGGGCACTTACCTGAGATAAGGAATTCACTGGTTTGGATCCCTGCTCTGTGGCAGGGACTAGCTAATGGTCCTGCACATCAAGGGTGAAATCCTGACTTCATTGAAGTCAGTGGTAAAAAGTCAATAGCATTCATTTTTATGAAGCCAGGATTTCACTCCAGATATTTTGATAGGCACAGTACAAGAATCTAGATTTTGCGTGTTGGAGCAATCTTAACTTAAAAAAGCTGTCATATCTGCTGCTTAACCCTTGGGTGTAAGGATTTGTCTATGACATTTGCACTTTTTGCATTGCTGTAATTAAAGTCTATTTTCCCCACTCCAGCTCATCTAAAGAAATGGGTTTTGTCCATGAAAGCTCATGATACTATACATGCTTTTTTTAGTCTCTGTGGTGCCACAGGACTACTTGTTGGCGGCACCTACATTCAGAATTTTGGGGAAGGAAAAAAATCCTCACTGTTTCTACAATTGGTGCAGCCCCAATGGTCGAAGCACTGGGATATAAAAATCTTAAATACCCTGTAAAGGTAGCTAAAGTTTTGTCATCTAACTTAAAAAAAAGCTACCCAGCATTGTATTTAAAATATCAGTGACCACTGTTGTCCTAGCTCTCCCACTAGTGATATTTTTGGTAGTAATTTCTTTTATGTATATGTAAGTGAAAGGTGTTCATGTGCATAATGGCCAATGCCTGACAGTCAATATTTATATTTTAAAGATTAACGCCTTGTCATTTTTTGTGAAAAATATCCTTTTACCTTGTAACTACTGTGGGGAAAAAAAATCCAGAAGTAAAAAGGACAGTGAAAACGAGCCCCTCTAGCTTATGATAAAACTAAGGTACTCTGTCTTCACTGTGGTTTTTTTCACTGATTTTAAGACAGCTCTCACACAATTGATACTGAAATGTAAAAAAATACAGGGACTAGTCTCTGATATGACCTTGTCTCCACTAGCATCTTGTTCACTGTTCTGTTGGTAGAGCTCTCTTAACAGCATGAACAGGACTGGGTAGAGAAGAATGGTAACTACATTTTAACTTTGGTGTTATCTAGACCTATTCTGAGCAGGATCAGATGATGTAATGTTTAATTGACTCCTTGTATCTTATCACTTTTGGCTTAGCTGCTCTTAGTGGAGTTGCACAACTGCTAGGGGATTGTTTCCATAACAAGAACTAGGGGTCACCAAATGAAATGAATTTGGGTTTAAAACAAAAGGAAGTACTTCATGCAATGCACAGTCAACCTGTGCAACTCCTTGCCAGATAATGTTGCGAAGACCAGGACTTTAACAGGGTTCAAAAAAGATTTAGATAAATTCATGGAGGATAGGTCCATAAATGGTGTCGCTAGCCTCTGTTTATCAGAGGCTGCAAATGGGTGACAGGGGTGACATTTGATGATTACCTGTTCTATTCATTCCCTCTGGGAGCACCTAGCACCAGCAACAAGATACTGGGCTAGATGGACCTTTGATTTGAGCAGTATGGCTATTCTTATGTTCACTGATAGCTGCAGGAATGGGAAATTAAAAGGAAAA